CCCGTGAGCCAGTCCCTCCATTTAAGCAGTAAAAAATAATAAATAAACCGGTCATTATGATATTTTGCTCACACATGGTCAGCGACACAAAAAGGACACAAGAGAGAATCCTTAACCGTACAGAATAATTAAATAGAGAAAAGAAAAAGAGACCTATGTTATTGCGATATAAAGTAGAAAACTCCGAAATAGTGCCATCGTGAACTAAATACAAGTGAACAAACAAAATTTTCCTGTAACTTATACATATATACAACACGTTCACTTGAACCCACTGCTTATAAAATCAATATGAAACACATAACATAATATAGAGCAGCCTTCTAAAATATTGCCTGTTCTATGCATTAATCGATTGACAAAATCTACATTATCGTGTTCGAAGTCGTAACTAAAAGCTAATATTATTGTATAGCAATGATATGCACACAACGACATAATGACTTATATTACATAAGCGAAGAATTGAAATCGATTGCGCCAAAATAATTACTCAAGTGTTGAGTGTTGGCATTTGCTGGAGATGCGACCTCAGTGAAAGGTCGTCGGTACCATGAGCATACTTTACCTCTGGTTAGTGACCCCAAAAGCTTAGGATTTACATGTATGTTGACATTTTTGTTACATACACAATATTTTGTTTCCAGATTCATTAATATTATATCAGATAGATACTCGTACTTAGAATGGATTTGATTATGTCAGTCACATAGATATACAATAGCTAATATAACATCATTTAAATAAAAACATTGTACACAGATACGCAAGCCAAATACACACTACATTTAATTAGTACCTATACCAAAAAATACACAAAAATTTAAATTACAAATTTATTTATTATCAAAATACAAATTACATTTGTTTTGGAGACTCGCAGCTCAGCGGATGTTAAGTGATGAACAGAGCCCATGGACATCTATCGCAAAGTGAATACTATTACCTATTTTAGTAATTAAAAACCTTTTTATGTCTATAGGTTGTCTAGACTGGTTAAAATCTAAGCTAAGAACCGAAATACTTAGCTACGCCAACAAACGAAAAATGTTGCGGAAATGTACATAACGATGTATAGATAAGTCTGCCTTGGCCATATTAAGGCTATTTCATTCTGAAAACAATTCGATTTTAGTGGAACTGAGTTCATTCCAGAGCCGGATAGTACCTACGTGGTGAAATTGGTTGCTGTAAAACTTACTGTGAAAGCAGTGGCTCTAAGTAACTACAACTCTCCCCCAACAAACTCATCCTCACAAACGCATGGTGATCGAATAGTTGAAATTTAATCCCTCAAAGTATACTCATGGAATTATTATGGAACTCATGGAATTATATTATTAAAAATATGATCGATACTTCTCTGAGTCGGTCTCTTCATTGCTGAATGTCGTCTCTAGTTGTAAATGTTGACCACTCGTTGCATTATACTTCCCCACGTCTTCTTGTCCTCAGTGGTCTTTATAGCCTTGGTTATTGGCAGGCCGGTAAGCCTCTTTACTAGATCAAACCAGCGGGTAGGTGAGCGTCCGCGTGACCAACTACCATCAGCTTCTCTAAGTTATCGGGGTCTCTACGAGCGTTGTGACCGAAGTATGCGTTGGAAGCAGATAGCGAACAGCCTTGTAGTAATTGTGTGATCGATACTAAGTTATCTCTATAAGTAAGTATATATAAAAATGAATTGCTGTTCGTTAGTCTCGCTAAAACTCGAGAACGGCTCGACCGATTTGGGTAATTTTGGTCTTGAATTATTTGTGGAAGTCCAGAGAAGGTTTAAAAGGTAGATAAATATGAAAATTTTGTTTTTCCTTTGATGTGTCCCCCGTCGGACGGATTCCTTTTTTTTGTTTTAAGTTTATTTTATACAAAAGTTTAGGTCTTTTATTTATCAATTGAGGCACTACGAAGTCTGCCGGGTCAGTTAGTTAAAAATAAATCATTTCACATAATTTTGAGACATGATTTAAGTTAGCGTATAAATACTAAAACTCCTGCCCGATTAAAATAGTTGCACAACAAACACTATTGAAATTCCACAACAGAAAAAAACAAATTATTGTTAGTTAGGAACGATTTTATTTTAATTCAAGATGGGGATAAATTTACTAGCAATATTGAATTACAATGAAAACTATGTAAGCTCTTACTCAGTGCATTTACTTTTGAATCGATAGTAAATTAGTAAATAAATGGTTGATTGTTAGCTAATGTCACAAAGAACAACGGAATTTTAGAAAAATCCCTTCTTATTGAACTTAGACATCATATCACAGTACCACAATTACCAAATTATTAATTAATTATTAATTTTAAATAAGTAGGTAGAATGTTTGATTTGCTTGCACTCTACATGCTTTGATCAAGTCTATGGTTTTATTAAAGAATGCAGCCGTAAACTACCAAGAGAAGACCTAGACGATTTTCATTTTAAGAAAAAACTAAAAGTTAATCTTATTATTGATAATTATTATCACATAAATTATTTTCTTAGGGACGACTTTCAAAATAAATTGATTTTTTAATTATTTGTTGAACTATGCATGAATGAAAGGTAGATTATATAATATCATAATATCTTGCCCTGCACTAAAATTCGCATGTCAAATAATGACAAAACATGCACGCTGCTTTTAACTTATGTAATAACTCATTTTCGCTATGCTTAGCGAATAAATGATTTCTTTCATTCTTGTAACTATACTGAAACCTTAGAACTCACATCTCAAGGTGGGTGGTGGCATTTACGTTATAGATATCTATGGGCTCCGGTTACCACCTAACACCAGGTGGGCTGTGCGTTAGTCCACCCAACTAAGCTTTAAAAAAAACACGGCTTTTCGTTTATTTTTTCATTGCCTTAATAAACAGGTGAGCATTTGACCCATCTGGTGGTGACTGGTCACTGTCTCTCATAGAGAGCATTCTCGGAACATTAACCGTTCTACCGGTTGTTGGCTATTGTGGAAAATCCTTAATATACGCAAATTGTTATAAGTAATTTATCATGTTAGTATTTTCTTCGCTTTTCACGAGACATCATTAGAAATATTTTTACGGTTTAATCTCGCGTTTTTTGTGCGCGAAATTTTCGACAATTTTCAACTGTTAACGTATAAGATCTTAATTTTCCGTGCCCATAAAAACTGTAAAATATTCGAAGCTTCGAATTTATATATTGAAAATTAAAAAAAATCAAGATTATACCGTATTAAAAAAGTTTTAATTGTATCATCCCATTAACTATTTATACGTATGTAAATACAATTTTAACATCTGCAATAATCAAAACTGGATATGAATTCTTGACCTTAAGCCACGCTCCGAGCAATGACGAGGTGAACATGCCCGATGATATTAATTATATGTAGCATGTAACCTCATTTCATAAATATCACAGATTGATTGCTATTCCGATATGTGCAGATTTATCGCTATAGTTCATATAAATATAAGCAAACGCGCCGACTTAGGTCAATTACAACCACACACTGTAAGAATCCACAACAAAATTCGCGAAGAACCAATACACAAATTCATTTGCAAATGATTGATTTTACAAAAAAATAAATATCACGTAATGACGAGGTATAGAAGCAAGCACAGACGAAATTGCCGAAATTAAAGAAACAAAAATTTTATATACTACTAGCTGACCAGGCAAACTTCGTAGTGCCTCAATCAATAAACAAAAGACCTAAACTTTTGTATAAAATAAACTTAGAACAAACAAAATTGTTATTTTTATTTAATTCCGAGCATTTTCATATTTATCTACCTTTTAAACCTTCTCTGGACTTCCACAAATAATTCAAGACCAAAATTATGCAAATCGGTCCAGCCGTTCTCGAGTTTTAGCAAGACTAACGAACAGCGATTCATTTTTATATATGTAGATAGATTATTATATTGACAACTTTTAAATAAAAATGAATATAACCAACATCGCTTCCTGGAACAAAGTATCGGTCTTAACGCGCGATTGGAAATCTTTGCTTTACAATAGGAAATACAGTAATATAATAAGATTTATTACTGTATTTCCTTGATCTTCTACAATACGTCAAATAGTTTCAAGTTTAATGACTTTAAATTATTCAATAGGCATACTCAAAATAACAACATTTTTTGTCTACTCAGTGACGTGACAAAGACTACAGATCTCTTATTTGTGAAGTGTCGTCAGAAGTTATACTAAAAATAACGAAAATTTAACAAATTATAAGAAAAAAGTTTCCTAGAGATTTGCGCAAAAATTTTTACGTTGAAAGAGGAAATTATTTTGTCGTTATGTTATTTTTTTATATAAGTGAGACCACTAAAATATATCAGCTGTTTACTAATTGCTTGCAATATCAAACATGTATTGTTTACAACCTTGTGCTCTGACCCTGTCAAGAGGCGGATCACTTTGATATTAGCACTTGTTTAGATCGATATATTTGTTATTATTGCGTGAATATAAATATTTTTTAGAAATTCGAATTTTTATGTAATTTCATTGTAATAATAATTATATAAAGAACCATACATATTGAGACTCTCCAATACCAACTTAATCGAAATGCTTGCACGGGTCATTTAGAACCTCACGGTCTACGGAGTCTTTGTTTTGCTTACATGTTACATGAATAATTCTGTAAATATTGTTTGCATTTCTCCTCTCCTGACAATTTTACTGTCGCACCATTTACCATCAAACCAGAAGTCATCAGGTGGGTCGATCTAAAAATAATTTATGTTCCTCAATCACCAAAAAATATATTTCAAAATCGATTTTCTAGCACCCTTCTATGTCCAACTTTATTTTCTTCTTTTCATAATTAAATTGATCTAGGAACAAGAAGCTAAATGTCACTGAACAAAAAATGCACCTTCAGACTTGTACGTTAATACATCCATGGCTTCAAGACCTTAAAGTAAGGTCAACCGAATGTTATAAAACAACATCTTGTTTGCTACGGAAACAGATATTTATAAGATTTCATAAAATCAGGAAGATGTATCATTTATTGTGTGTTAAAATAATATTAACGATTTTATTCTTGAAGATTTGTCACAAAAATGTTTTTTCGTTACATCCGATTAATCGAACAGAAAAACTCATATCTTACACGATACCTGAAAAACGCGGGCTGAAAAAAGCCTTCGGGTATGATGAAGATACGTATCTGAATTTTACTGAATTAACCACAAAATACAATTACCCGAGTGAAGAACACACAGTAACCACTGAAGACGGATACATACTCACGATATTTAGAATCTTAGCAAAGTGCAATGCACCTTCAAGACACTATCCAGTTCTTCTGATGCACGGTGTACTCGACAGCTCTGATGGATGGATAATTGCGGGCTCTGAAATAGGAATCGGCTTCGTTCTGGCACGCAACTGTTACGACGTATGGGCAGCCAATCACAGAGGAAACAGCTACTCTCGGAAACACGTGCGATTTGATGCAAACATAGACCCCGAGTATTGGGATTATACATTTGATGAACACGGAAACTATGATCTACCAGCCACTGTTGATTATGTTCTGCAAAACACCGGGAAAGCGAAGATCAATTTCGTTGGACACTCTCAAGGAACGACAAATTTTTACGTAATGAATTCTTTGAAACCACAATATAATGAAATGATAAACTTGTCCATTCATCTTGCTCCTGTGGCCTGGTTAAAAAATACCGAAAGTATTATCTCAATAATTGCAGCACAAGGCAGTGGTCTAATTAAACAATTTCTCTCCGACATCGGAATAAGAGAATTCCTCGGAAAGAATCACATCATTCACGTTGCTTTTGAAGCATTATGTCAACTTGTACCGGATGAAATATGTGGTACAATGCTAGCCCTTACTGTTGGCTATGTACAGGGGACTATAAACCCCAAACGCATTTCGGTTGTATTTGGGCACGTACTAAACGGAGTTTCAATTAAAAACGCCGATCATTTCGGTCAACTTATAAGGTCTGGTAAGTTTCAACGTTACGATGAAGGAATAAGCGGTAATCTGAAAAGATACGGTAGGCAACATCCTGCCAACTACAATCTGTCCTTAGTGACCGCACCAGTGGTGCTCGTCAGTGCCAAAAGTGATTGGTTGTCTTCCGTGAAAGATGTTAAAATTTTATGCTCGAAATTACCAAATTTGTTAGAAAATTACGAGATTCCTCTAGCTTATTGGAGTCACCACAATCATTTATGGGACGATAACATTAAAGAGTATCTTTTTCCGAAAATGTTTGAGTACTTAAATAAGTACAACTAATTAATATAATAAATTCATTTAAACAAATTTTATTTTAAGCTTTATGGTATTTTTAAAGACAAAATATAAAGTTTGCGTGGTATGGACATGTGATGCGTAGAGAGAGAATGCATGTGACTAGAAGATGTATGGAAATGGTAGTGCAAGGTTGAGGGGCAAGAGGTCGACCGAAGAAGACATGGATGCATTGTGTGAATGACGATATGAGATAGAGAGAGAGAGAGAGAGAGAGAGAGAGAGGGGAGTGAGTGTTGAGTTGACGGCTGATAGAAGAGAATGGAAGAGAAAATTTTGCTGTGCTGATAAGGTGAAGAAAAATAAGAAGAAAGCCAAAATATAAATGAAACCTGAAACAAAATTTTATCATATAATTTGTCAAGACCAGCGTTTAGTTTTAATACCACATCTATTGTTTTAAATTGTACTAAGTTCTACTTGCCAATATTATCAACAATTTTAACTGAATATATATACAAAATAATGAAAACATGAACTTCCCCGTTTCACCATATATATCAAGAAAAAAATTAAACTCCTGACATCTTCCATTCTTACCATCCTCCTAAAGTCTGATCTACTGTAATAAGCTGATTTATTTTCAACTTTTTAATTATGAAATAGTCTATTGACGAAGTCCAATTTTCTTGTTTTTATTGATTATTTGAAAATAAAAAGTTAGTAAGGAGGATCAAGTCGTTCACCTTCTATTTACGTGTCTGTTATTCTAAATGAGTTTATTGTACATTGAGAATTCATTAAGTGTTTTGTTAGTTTATTAACCTTTACAATTGGCTCAGAAAATGAACCGTATAAGGTACAAGCTATTCGAAATAATAATAAAATAATTTACAAGATAGTGAGTGAAACTGTACATTTCAGTAGTAGAGAAGCTAACTGCACAGAAACAAACCGTTTATGGTACAAGCTATTCGAAATAATAATAAAATCATTTACAAGATAGGGAAACTGTACATTTCAGTAGTAAAGTAGCTAACTGCACAGAAACAAACCGTACCTATAAGGTACAAGCTATTCGAAATAATAATAAAATCATTTACAACATAGTGTAACTGTACATTTCAGTAGTAGAGGAGCTAACTGCACAGAAACAAACACAAATTTCTGTCGCGAAGCTGTCGTGCGATCATCATCATCTTAAAGATAGAATAGTCGCTACAGAATACATGAAACTTGGATCTGTATCTATAGGTGCTTAGCAGTAATTGTTAAGGATATTATGGGTTCCTATAATGAATATGAGGTATGCCATGACGTATACCGATAGGCTAGATGGTAGTGGTGCTCAACCTTAAATTAAAAAAATTACGACTTTAATCTTATGTTCCAAAGCAAACAGTTGTATTTACGTTACATGGTAACTAATTAACATGAGATGAGCCGTAATTTCATCTACTTGCTAATACATCAAAAAGCAGATTTCGCCTATAGTTACAGTCGAGAGCTAACCATTTCTCCGGACTCTCCTCCGACCTCTTTCAAAGATGAACATTCAATTAATATCATTTTTACTCTTGCATACATCAAAAATCGTTAAAATATGTTCCGAACATACCTTGTAACCATGAGCTAACAGTATCGACTACACGCATTGCATTTCATTAATGCAATCGTAAAAACTGTTTTTATTTTTTATTTTGTAAATCTGACATCAACTTTCGAGGACTATTTCGATTCAGAGACGTGAGGGTGGAACTCAATAACTAAATAAAATTTTTCAAATGGTTCATTATGATTTGGGAATGGTTCTAATGTATAATAGATATATATGGGATCATTTTAAGATGTTCTTTAATAACGAAATCTAAAAAATATATATTTTGGAATCATGGATATAAGCTCTGCCAGAGCCGTTTTTTTTTTTTTTTTTTTTTCGGGTAGAGGGCCGAACCTCCTACGAGGTCCCCGCGCAAAAGGGGCGCGCGGGGTATGTGAGACTCAACGATCTGCATGGAGCTGTGAGCAGACCGCGGGCCCAAGGATTTTAGGACCCACCCACTAAACGACTGCCCTGCACTCTTACACCCGACGTCCGATCCCCTCCGAGGTCAGAACCCGGATGAGGTAGGGGGGCTACCGCGGTCAACACTACAACCAGACGGCGCGGCTCACCCCAAGGACGCCCAGCCGACGGAGCCTTCGAGGCGAATCGAAGGCTCTGAAACGTCGGCCGTCTCGGTACGGCAGCCCGTCGGGCCGCCCAGACGGTGCCGCTGGTGTCCCGGAATACCCCGCTGGACCAGAACCAGCCTGCCGGGTCGGGACGCGATACACCGTCGACCGGTCGCTCTATTCACTCCACGGCAGCGCGCTAGAGTGCTGGTAGCGCGCCGCGCGGCCTCACCCCCTCANGACGCCCCGCAGGACCCAGTCGTAGCCGATGTTCCACAGCAGGGGGCCCAGGACGGACCCCTGCGGAACACCGCGCTCGACGGGGAAGCGGTACATCGCCCCACCGTGTCCGATGCACTGGATCGACCTGCCCTCGAGGTAGGAGCCGATCAGTCGGCGGAGGTATGCGGGGACGCCGTGATACTCCAGCGCCCCCGCGATCACCGACCAGGGCAGGGTGTTGAAGGCGTTCCTTACATCTAAGGATAACGCCATCGCCACCCCGCCCCGGGATACGGCTTCGTCGGAGAGGGCCCTCACGCGCAGAATCGCGTCGATAGTCGAGCGGCCCTCTCTGAAGCCGTACTGCTCCGCCGAAAGATCGGGACCCGTCTCGGTCAGGTGCCGGACGATGCGGGCCGCGACGATCCTCTCGAGCATCTTGCCCGCTTCGTCCAGCAACACGATGGGGCGATAGCCCGCAGCTCTGCCAGAGCCTCGGCCATCCTTTTTTTTTTTTTTTTTTTTTTTTTTATGATTGAAGGATTACTGGTGGCCCGGAGGCCTTTCCAGTTTCACCAGGACAGGTGGGCGAGCAAGGGCTCAGCCAGGAGGGGTGGGATTTGCTAACAGCTGCCCGAGCGCCTCCGAAGGAGACCTAACAACTCAAGAGTAGCTGCTTCGCGAATGAATCTACTACCGGATCGGAATCGCGACCCGCTGAGAAGATCCGGCGAGAAACTCAGCGAGCTGATTCATGGGTTAGGTTGCACGGCGAACTCTTTGTCGAGTTCGACGAGTACGGTTACCGAGGTCCCTAAGCCTGCTCCTAGAGCTGAAGGCGTCTAGTGCAAAGGTTATTGGATCTGATGGATCCGTAAGGACGTGTCTAGGGCGTCGACGGTGACTGGCTCCTGCATGATCAGGATTCGGGGAGTAGTCAGCGGCGGCTACGATAAGGCGATTATCATGACGCATAGCCTTATCGAAGTACCGTTCCGACGCTGACTTCATGTATTTCTGTATAGATTCGAGGCCCAGGTCGTCGTGTAGGTCAACGTTCCTCACGAACCACGGAGCTCCGACGGCTAACCTGCAAAAGCGGGATTGTAGAGATTGAAGGGTGTCTATGTGTGTGCGGGCCGCGTGAGCGAACACCACACTCGCGTAAGTCATGACGGGCCTTATGCAAGTTTTGTAAAGTGTCACCTTGTTCCGAAGGGACATTTTACTCCGCTTACAGATCATGGGGTAGAGTCTACCGAGAATAAACGCGGCACGGTCACGGACTGATTTTATATGCGGGCGGAATGTCATCGATGCATCCAGGGTAACGCCCAGGTACTTGACCTTCCTGGCCCAGGGTATGGGTTGTCTAAAGAGAGTAATCGGGGGTGTGAGATTCCTCCTCCTAATCCGGGAGGAAATCCGTGTGGAGCTTCCCCTCTGAAATAGCACCGCAGTACTTTTCGCTGGGTTAATGTCTATGCGCCATTTTCGGAACCACTGTCCTAGGGCTAGGGCTGCGCTCTGAAGCTTCTTCGCGATTAGGGACTTGTTTCTACTGGAATAGTAAACAGTCGTGTCGTCGGCGAATAAAGCTAAATGGGTCGGCGGCGACCGGGGAATGTCGTTAACGAATAAGCTAAATAGGAGGGGTGAAAGGACAGAGCCTTGCGGGACTCCAGCTGTGAGAGGTCGTGGGGAGGAGCGGGTTCCCTCGAATCGATATCGAAAAGAGCGGTTCGACAAGAAGTCCCGTATGATGAGCACGAGACTATCCGGCACACCCATGTTGAATAGTTTGAAAATCAAACCGTTGTGCCAGACTTTGTCGAACGCTTTTGCGACGTCGAAGAAGAGAGCTCCCGTGTATAACGGTTTTGGTCGATTAAGCCCCACAAGAATGTGCTCCGTGACGCGGTGCACCTGTTGAACGCATGAGTGATTTGTACGGAATCCGAATTGTTCATCGATGAGAATGTCCTTGGATGAGACGAAGTCTCTGAGGCGTTTGTAGAGCAGACGCTCATACAGTTTGCCTAGAGACATGAGGAGGCTAATCGGGCGGTAAACCTCGGCCATCCCTAGAGGATTGTATTCCTGTGAGAAATGGTCGGGGATCCTGATGTGATAGAACCTTCCACTCTGGGAATCTTATAACTGGAAAAATTCATAATGACGGGTAAAGTGGGTGGAAAACGATCCAGGGGTCGGAGCACGAAAAAATGGAGTAACCAAGTCTTCGAGCACCTGGACACGAGTCTAGGTGACTTCACTGGGTCATTGACCGACATAAGTAGCTACAGATCACAGATGCATCATGATGCTCAACAATGAGCGAACGACTAGAGGAGGGTGATACTTTGCATAGTATATTCCTCACAGCAGCTGCTCTATATACGACCAAAGAGTCAACTGTAGAGCGGAGACTCCTAACAATTCTCAACTGTAGAGTCTCGGCATACAGACCTTAAATTTGGGTCGCCGACACCTGACACCGCAATGAGTTTTTTTAATTTGATCAAGTGACCCAAACTAATTCGGTATGGGTCGATGTCACCCATTGTGTGATGTCCATAAGCGGACTGTCCTCGTTCTGACGACACACAAACTCCGTTCTACATAGGGTCCCGATGGGCAAAATGTCA